TGTTACCACATATGCTTCTTTCTCTAACATGAACCATGGAAAAAACCTCTTTTCTAAAATACTAAATAAAAATGGACTGGAAATATAACTTTCTTTTAAAGATATACTGTAACCTTCTTTTAAAAAGATGGCTTCGAGTCTTGTTTGGGCTTCAAAACTGAAATCAAAATGTGCTAAGAATTTACTCAAATGTGGCATAGGCCATTGTTTGCCAAGTCTATTGTTCCCACCTATCACTAGAAAATATGTCAAAGAATCACAAAGAAATGGGACTTAAAACAGTTTTCATGTTTCAAATTTGTACATTCTGATTTCTATTAATTGTACTGTACATGATAGCATGGTATTATTAACAACGCTGAGTACAATAATGACTTATATTGGAGTAAATCTTAATGAGTTCTGCAGGGCTTCCTCTCAAGTCAATATATGTGTGTGTGTGTGTGTGTGTGTGTGCGTGCGTGCGTGCGTGCGTGCGTGCGTGCGTGCGTGCGTGCNNNACGTACGTTTGTTTATTTATTTATTTATTTATTTATTTATTTATTTATTTATTTATTTATTTAATACCCTGCCCATTTAGACAACATCTACTCTGGGCTGCAGAATATGCATAGAACTTGTTGTGAACAGAGTTACAGAGTTTCTCCCTATAGTGATTAAATATGTGTTTCAGAAACATGGCAAAATCTTAGACCTAAATCCAACAGACAATCTCAACTAAAGTAGACCATCTGAATCAACTGGACTTTAATCTAAGTGGGACTAAAAAAATGCTTCCCTCTCCTAAGGAATCAAATACTGTAGGTTTAGGTTTCTATGAATGATGGTGGTAAAGAGATTGGAAAGAGTTCTGGATCTTGTGTAAACCACTCAGAGTAGACACGTTCTACATAGGCGGTATATAAGTTTAATTAATTAATAGTGGTTTTTGATAACTTTTTTTTCAAAACAGGCACAACAAAAACAGGTGTTTCCAAGACTAAACATATACAGGTATTTCTAAACTCTACATACCATCATAATTATGTTCTAGCACAGAGGTCCACGATCCTCAGTCCGCGGCCCAGTACCGGTCCGTGGCCTGAGCCAGACCAGGTCATGGAGGCAGACCTCCCACACACACCCCACATGCACTCACCCCCCGCACAGCCCCTTTGCGCATATGTGCGAGCACCAGCGCCCACATGACCGCTCCCCTACCCTTTTGCGCATGCACACGAGCGACTGCATGAGCGACGCTGTTTGTGCATGCGCACGAGAGTGCCCCCGCACAAGCACCCCCTCCTTCACGCATGTGCATGAGCACATGCACACCTGTGCGAGAGTGTGCGCTCCTTCGTGCATATGCGCAAGCTGGAAAGCAATGGGCAAATATAGTATGCAGCTTAAGGAACTTATGCCTATAGTAAATGCTCGTACAACTGCAACCTTAACAGCCCAGCTTTAATTGTATTTAGGCTGCAATCCTATACCCCTTTCTAGGAATAAGCACTACTGAATTCAATGGGGCTTACTGTTGACTAGATACACTTGCATTTAATCAGAAGTAAACACCATTTTACTTCTGGCAAGAGAAGGGGACAACAGAGGACGAGATGGTTGGACAGTGTCATCAAAGCTACCAACATGAATTTGCCCCAACTCCGGGAGGCAGTGGAAGACAGGAAGGCCTGGTGTGCTCTGGTCCATGGGGTCACCAAGAGTCGGACACGACTTAACGACTAAACAACAGCAAAAAAACACCACTTTGCTTCAATTAGACATACATTTCCAAGCAAGTGAATTTAGAGTAAAAACTCAAGACTATGGCAACTCATTTATTTTAAAAGAGGAAAAGAAATACGTAACTATCAACTGATTATGTGTTCCTTATAGATTAACAACCTCAAAATATGCCTGATATAACTTTGCTCACAGTTTAAGTCATGAATTGATACTGGTCATTTTTAAAACAATCAGAAGTTTGTATCTTTAATTGTATGCACTTCACGTTCTCAGTTTAGAAAACAATGTGACCACGCCTTATGGCTCTAATCATATGTACATCCTCTTGGGAATAAATCACTTTGAACTCAGAAAGACATATTCATTAGCATAACATGTTATGATTTTTTAAACTATCACTTCCAAATGGCACAGTTAAATTAAAATCAAATAAACCATCACTTAAGACGCCACTTCTATCCAATCAAACTTTTGAGAATGAGTCCTACTGAACATACTGGTATTTCCTTTGAAGTAAATGTGCATACGGCCAGAATGCTTATTTGTTTTACTGTCAGCAGATGTTATCTCAAAGAATCAAATTGTTCTCATAATGTTTACAATATATTATAACAGTAACACCAAAAAAACTTTATTTCAAAGACTCAAACTGTCTTTGCAATGTCTGTAATATGTGATAATAACAATGTACAATGCATTGTAATACCGTATCTTTTCAGAACAAATTGTAAAATTTAAAACATGGTAAAAACAAACACTAAAAATAGCCAGTTTTCAAAAAAACAAAAGAAAGCTTGCCTCTGGTCAGAAAATTAAGTCTTCAAAGACATTCTTAACTAAATATACATATACTGTACACAATTTCTGTCACACTGCAAATAACTCTGCACCATCTTCTAAGTGTTCATCTGAACCATGTTTCCCTCATCCAATCATGGTGTACATACATTATAATTAGCAGTCCAATCAGATTATTGATACTGGAGACAAGTTAAAAGTCACTGCAAGAAAACAAAAAGAACTACTCATAGAATCACTTCAAGGAACTCAAAATAAACAGAAATCATCCCTCCTTTTTTTCAAATGTGTATTTTTTCCTACAGCTACCCTGTTTCCCCGAAAATAAGACCTAACCTGAAAATAAGCCCTAGCAGGATTTTTCAGGATACTCATAATATAAGCCCTACCCCCAAAATAAGCCTTAGTTAAGTGAAACCCCGCCCTCTACCATTGTGCAGCAAACAGAATATGACATGGCTGTATTTGAACAAATGTAGATTGTTGTAGGTGAAAAAAATAAAACATCCCCTGAAAATAAGCCCTAATGCATTTTTGGAGCAAAAATTAATATAAGAACCTATCTTATTTTCGGGGAAACAGAGTACTAAAGCTGATCATATCCTTTTACTTGACAATTTTACAAAACAATGTAAGAAATTTATTTGGGAAATATTAATTAAAATTGCATATAAATGACATTACATCTCCCTCTAGAGTATAATTTGCATGTATATATTTCAAATAGGGCAGTAAAGACACACAGACCCATTACTAGAGTTTCACAGACATACACACTAGAGAGCTTAGGTATCTTAAGCAGTAGTGCAAAACTTAAATTGTCTGTACAGTATATTCAGTTGAGCTCCAAAATTAATTTTCTTAAAATTGTGTGTGAAAAACTGATACAAGTTTAATCTTGCCAAACTTTCAGAATACTGTTTTACTTGATGTCCAAATAGTTTATCTACATCCCAACCTCTGAAGCATAACAGAAGTAAATATATAACAGATTTAAATCAACCAACAACAAAAAAAATGCCCCATATAATTTCAGTGATCCCAATCTGCCAACATGTATGAATTTAAAACAACTACTGTATAATTAAATGTCCATGGAAAGAACCAAAATATCTGAACAAACTGAAAAAGCAATTTGAAATACATTGTATCTATGACAGACTTACGATAGACCTGTGATGTTTAAAATGTTTTAAGATTTCATTTACAAATAATATATATATATATTATTTATTATCTACCATGCCACTAGGCCAGGCATTTGTCTGAAACGGTATGATGTGTTTTGTCTATGCACTCTATTGGAATTATGCTTCATACAGGCAAGACATGGAGGAGATGCAGTTGTCTGACAGGTAATAAAGTACATCAACTGCTGTTATGTGCAAAGCAGCCACAATGGCTGTTCCAGCAAAAGCACAGAGAAGACTGTTTACTTGCAGCAGCAGCATCCCTCCAGTAAGGCACTGCTATAAGGGGAAAGACTGTTCTTCCTTAGTTCTATTAATAGCACACAGACGTTTTAACGTTTATTGCTTATTAACTCACGCCATTTGTCATACATTTACCTCTAATTACAGTATTTCCAAGCCCTTTAGCAGAAAAGTGAGGGTGATGGGGACATGTGAGGAGGAAACACTGTCAGTGACCCAAAAGATTGGAGGAGGGGGCGGGGCGGAGACGCCTATTACACCCTCCTTTCGGCGGCAAAGAAGTGGCATTCTATATAAATAACTGCGCGCGCGCATGTGTGTGTGTCTGTGTATGCACGCGCGCGCGCGTTGTATGTTGTGCCTCGTGGCCAAGCGCAGATCGTCTTCCTTCTCTTCCTCCCAACCCCCCCACCCTCCACCCCGTGTCAACCTTCCCGCCGCCAGTCTTTAATGTTACATAACCTGTCTGTCTCTAACAGAAGTCTAGCAGGCCCCGCCAAGCACAGACACAACGCACAGGCAGGCGCACAGAGAACGAGAGCAGGGCATTATTATTATATATTTTCAGCCTCGTTTGAGGCACACGATGCCTGATGGGGAAGGAGGAGGAGGAGGAGCTGAAGGGAAACCGGTGGGGGATCCGTCGCCCACCACCCCTTCCCTGGCCAGCCGAAGACCCTGAGAGGACCGCTAGGCCACAAATGCCCCTTCAGGGTGACAAGGAGGGAGGGAGTGACAAGGATGGAGAGGAGGGGGGGGCCGTCTCAGCGGTTTGCGTGCCAAGCCGCAGATCGGAGGCATCTCCCTCCCCCCCACACACACAGACACACTCTCCAATCTCCTTCTCCTCCCGCCCGCACCTCACCTCACGTGCCCCAAGACCAGGCAGCGCCCAGCCGCCAGCATCCCTCCGCCGCCCAGCCTTCCTTCCGCACGCCCAGCAGGCCCCCCTCCCCTCCCCAAGACCGCTCCGCTCCGCTCCGCTATTATGCCTCCGGGGCTCTTGACGGCTCCCAACACCTCACGCGCCCGCTCGCGCTTTACCTGCGGCAAAGGCGAGGGCGGTGGAGGCTGACCGTTGGCGTGAGAAGAGGCGCGGCGGCGGCGGCGGCGGCTCCGGGCAGGGGGGCCCCCACAATCCCTCCTTCCTCGTCCCCCCTGCCGGGTTCGGTCCCTCACGGCCGCTGTTTTGCCTCCAAGCTGCGGAGAAAGGT